TAATAATATAAAATAATCTAGTAAAGGATTTATTATTTTTTGAAAAAATCCTCCTCCTAGGAATCGGATCTGTAACTACTCTATGCCAACGTAGAACTCCCTAAAGGACAAATATAATTTAAAGCTCACTCTTTACAGCAATGTGAATTATCGTTAGGCTAGTATAGTGACTGGGGATTTGAACAAGTCGCTCGGATCATGGTTTCCCCTATGGGCGTTTAGTGAACAGTGTTAATACTAATTTTAGGTTATTTCAAAAAATGATATATTATACACGTATTTTATATGTCAGAGTTACTGGGCAATAATATGAATCCACATTAAAATATACTTTCCAATAATATTACATCACAAGTCATCTTACATAATAATAACTTCCAATATCTCACACCATAACACCCCCAAGAGATCTTACACCATGACTTTCTAACAGTATCTCATCATAAGACCTTTCACTAATCTTACATCGCTTTCCAACAATCTTAAATCATAATATCTTCCAGCAATCTTATATCGTAAGATATTCCAACACTCTTATTACACAAGACCTTCTAAAAATCTTACATTGTTAGACCTCCTAACCGTGTTTCATCATAAGATCTTCCAACAATCCAATTGATGTTCCAACAATCTTAGATCATAAGACTTTCCAATAACTGTGTATCGTATTTGTGTTCTACTTTTCTCCCTCCATTCATCTGAAACAGTTCGAAAGTCTCTGAAGATACATTTCATTTCGCAATTTTGCTGTTTACTTGAAATAAATTGGCTATTAGAGACCTTGTTAATATGGATTCTAAATCGCTAGCTTCGCTTCTAGTGTCAAATCTTATATTGTTTCTGTTTACCTGTACTGAGAATATTTAATGGGATTTTGTGGTTATGACTTTCATTTGTGAAGGTTCCCGGTTTGACGCTTTTTTTCTATGTTACGGCAGAAAGTAATCATATAAGAATGCTACGAGATCCTCATGACAAAAAGAAAAAAAAAGATAAGAAAAAAGAACCTAAGTCCATTAGATAACACGTTTTCTACTGTTTCTCACATTTGTCCTCAGGTATATAACATTACAGATGTTACAAAATTGCACTGGTTCGGAAACATCTGCAATTCAGTGTTAGCAAATTAATATAAACATTCAATAATAAATAGTAGTAGAATAAAACTTCGGATGTTCTTCTAGAATAAAATGAATTTTTACTCCTTCATTTTGTCGGAATGGTGTGTGGGATTCCTCGGGGAAAAGTGGTTTCATAAACTGAACAATATATGTAAATAGTCAGTTACATAAAAGTCGTCAACAGATGGTGCTAGTGTTGTTGACTTTGGACGTGTTTAACAGCTCCTGATTTTTCCAAATAAAGGAGAGAAATTCAACCGAATACATCCACTTTGACGAATTACCCGAAATCCAAGAATCCTGTACATGCGCATAATTGTGTGTGTGTGTGTGTGCAAAGCTTGTAAGGAGCGTATATTATTGTGTGTGTGTGTGCAAAGCTTGTAAGGAGCGTATATTATTGTGTGTGTGTGTGTGTGCAAAGCTTGTAAGGAGCGTATATTATTGTGTGTGTGCAAAGCTTGTAAGGAGCGTATATTCGCTCATCTGAAATTTTAACTTCCACCATGGGAAGCTGTCATGGCGTTTCAACCGAGAACAATTTAAAACAAACGTGTTTTTACGTTAACGTCTTATAAAGTTCACTATAAACATTGTATTTATTCGTGACAATATTACAGTAAATAGACACAATAACTAGGCCGATGATATTTGGAGAGTACGAAGGATCACATAAGTAGTTATAATACGATTAAAGAAATCCGATTACCGAGTTCCTTCGGAAAGTGGAATTTCCTCCATCAGATTTACCTTTCAAAAGTGGTCGGGCTATCGAGTTTCATTAAATGCATATAATCTATTTAACAGATTTGCATCTACGAATGAAAACGTCGTCTAAGGTATGGATTTTTTTGTAGTTCTAAAAATATGTGTATATATATATATATTTTTTTTTGTAGGCCAAAAAAACACCACTACCGACAACTCCACTGAACAACTCAAAGTCTACTATAAAAACAATTCTCCACTGCATACAAGACAGACGAACGGATTCTAAAGGATATCGTTTACAAAAATACTACACCAAAGAAACAGAAAACAAAACTGCAACTCAATATCTACTACAAGTCTACCACAACGTCGGACCTTATCATGAAAAACACCCTGCTAAAAAGACAACAG